TTTGTAGCACATTTAAGAGAAATATTCAATTATTCCTGCATGTCCCACATGCTAAGTGAAGAAGCAACTAAAGTAGCAACAAATTCTGATTCTGTGTTTTGTTGTAGTCGGTTACATGTGTTTTGGCAGTGGTGAGCACCTGTACATAAAAGTCTGCTTACATAGAAACGGTAAAAGCAGAACACAGCTACTACAAATGATCTCAGACATATTGATGCATATATATATATATATTTGATTGCAGTACATTGTCATCGTAAAAATCACTGCAACTAGCTTATATATTTATATATATATTTAGTTAACTGAGATTATTTGAAAAGAACGTTCTTCTATAGAATTATAATACTAATAGTACAAACAAATCCTCTTCACTCTTAACATCCTTGAAGTAATTACATTCAGTTACATTCATAAAAATAAGAATGGTAACTAAAACTACAAACCTTTCTCCTTGTATGAGCTGGACCGTCGTCATCATCCTCTTCTTCATCTGTTTGCGGGTCGGAGTGTTGTTCGTCAAAGTTTAGTGCAGTGTAAACATTCTAGACTCACATAACTGTACTTAGATCAAAGATCAAAAACATCTCGTTGATTTATATCATAATCGGTTTGCATAACTAAAGTTTTCCGGCAAATCAGCAGTGTCGCACACGAATTTAACCTTTTGCAAGTTTCATTATGAGCTTGCTAACTAAAATACTAAAATGTAAAAATGCATTTAAGCTTACCAGAAATATTTAATCAAAAGAATCCCATACATCCACATCTCTTGGTAAATAATCCATTGTGATTTGCTGTTATCACAGCACAGCAGATTGATGGAATAGGGGTTATGCGCAACAGACTTCCGTATTCTGTTAACCGGGTCTCGTCGCTTCCGGTTCAAGCGTTTTTCATATGCTTAGTTAAATATGAAGCAGTTTTACTCAAGATGCCTTCAAAGTAGATACCAATGATGATCATAACCAGTGTCCATCACATATGCGGACTGACATCTAAAAGTTTTTTTTATTTTTATTCTTTTCACATTTAGATATAAAAATTGAATAAAACGTCAGCAATAAAAACAGCTAGCTAGTTTAACTGATTATCTTAAAAGTCCATAGATATCGCTATTATTTAATACGGCTGTTAACACGTTCTCCGACATGCGGAAGCAATGAGACCTGTTTTCCGGGTTTGGTCATGTTCAACATATACCCAATTGCAATTCGGTCCTACAAATGGCGGCTGCACCACTGAAACTCCACCCTCTTCTGTAAAGGGAGGCGGGAGCACCAGCTCATTTGCATTTAAAGGGACAAACACAAAAATGGCGCGTTTTGGCTCATACCCTAAAAGTGGCTATTTTAACAAGCTATAAAAAATGATCTGGGGTATTTTGAGCTAAAACTTCACATACACACTCTGGGGACCCCAGAGACTTATTTTACATCTTGTAAAAAGGGGCATGTATTATTTTATATTTATTGATGTTGTTTGTCTTTTTTTTTTTTTTTTGCTTATTTATTCATTATTGACAGAGAAACTGGCTCAATAAATTAATGCCAATGATCGCTTTTCATTTGAACCGTTTTTACATGGAAAAAACATAATGCCTAGTATTTATGCGTGCACCACAAAACAACATGTGGGCGAGAATGACCGTGTTTTTCAAAGTGGAGGCTGGCCTGCGCAGTATATTACTGCAGCTGTGCCTGCTGAAGCGATTGAGGAAGGTGATCTAGTACAGGGGTTTTCAAACCTGTCCTGAAGGACCCCCTGCCCTGCACATTTTGTATGTCTCCTTCATCTAACAAAAACCTGATTACACTCATCAGCTCGTTAGTAGAGACTGCAAGAACTAAATTGGGTGTGTCTGATAAGGGAGACATACAAAATGTGCAGGGCAGGGGGTCCTCCAAGACGGGTTTGAAAACCCCTGATCTAGTAGACTAGGATGGTCAGTCCCATGATCTGTTCCTTTCAGATGATGAATTTAGTGAGGAAAGTTAGACATAGCTACATTTCAGTCGATATCCGGGGGCGTTTAGACTCCTAAAATAATAACTCCCTCCCCCCCCATAGTCCAAAATATGCATGAAACGATGTTAATTTTTTTAAATAACGTAAATATTTCATAGGTTTTCTACTACATATTTCAGTAAGAGACATTATTTATGTTATATTAAGCCATACAAGTCTTGAGTTGATACCCAGGGTTGCTTTTAAGAAATTTGTTTACAGTAATCTGTATATAGACATTTGGTTACGTTTATGTTGCTTTTCCAGTTGATTAACCTTAAATGCTTTTATTAATTTTGTGCAGTGTGTTTTTGGAAGAATTCTTACTTTGCTTGCATGTTGTAAATCTTTTTAGAGAACATCACATGCTGTTCAGAGTCACGTAGGGATACTAACAGACCCGGAAAACCACAAAACACGTGGACACGGATCTATCCTTTGAAACTCTACAAAGTCATTTCAGAAGCAAAGGTTTTGAATTTGTTTCTTTTTACAATGTTTATCTGTGTCTTGTATTTGAATCTGTTGGTGATGCTACGTATGATATTGAAGCTTCGAAGCATGTATCCAGCACGCAGCACAATATAGTGCAACAGTCGGGTTTCGAAAGTTAAAAACCCCATTAATTTTCTACATAGGGGACTTGATTTTAAACGATAGCTTATAAACCTTTCAAGTACTGTTGTGAGCTCCTATGTTGTTAATCGATGGCATGTGCTTTTGTTGAAGCCATATGTTCATATTATTTCAAATAATTTTTTTAAATAATTGTGTTTAACAGCAGAATTCGTGGTGGAAATCTACATTACCCATGATGCTGTACACAAACAGGGTTTCTGTGGATCATGAAAAGGTCTTTAAAAGTTTTAATTTGCCCTTCCACAAATTAATTAAATCCGAGCATAAAGTCTTAAATTCATAAAGCTATGGCAATAAATGTTGTGTTAATTGCAATAAATAAATAAATAAAGCATCAGTATTTTGTTTTCCAACACAAATATCCAAACATCTTTAAATTAAGAAGCATTTACAAATATCTGAATATCTGAGAAATCAATAATTAAAGTGGTGTGTATGTGTATATATGGGTTTCAATCAATATGACAAACTTCTTGAAAGGTAAGCTAAACTTCAAGTTAAAAGTATTCGTAATATGTTGAACCTTTTATTGAAAGTAGCCTACTTTTACTCGTTGAGACATGTTTTCACATTTATTGACCCGTAAGAGCTGTGTTGGTGATTTGAGGGAGGCGTGACGTGTGAAAGGGGCGTTTGCAGATGTTGTTTAAACATGCTTTACTTTTGTAGTTCCTCTGGATGAACTAGTAGCGCAGAAACTGCATACCTTACCTTTAGCTCAATTAAGCTGATTGGCAGATATTTGGCTGTTATTTGTTCTTGTTTTAATCATGAACTCAATTCGTTTTGATCAATTCCACAGAAAACAAGACATCTTATGTCTTTCTGCTTTTCCAGTAAACATATTTTGACTTAAAGGGCACAGTATGTAATTTTCACCGCTAGAGGGCACATATTCAAAACAAACAAAGAAACAAAGGTGTAGTTTGATGACGCCGTGATTAAGTGTGGAATCATGGGAGATGTCGTCTTCATCCCCACAGCCTATGCAATCTGACGGGACTTGGGCAGAAATCATAGTCATGGTTGAGCTAATGTATTAAAGATTTAAAAACGTCACAGTAGTATGAAGCAGGGTGGGGCTGAAAGCCGTGGAAGCAAAACGAGGTACGGTACATTCACACAAGGCGTCGGTGTCAGCGCTTGACGGAGGGCGTGTCTGAAGCTTGGCGCTAACACGATCGTCATAGTGACAACAGCCAATTACATTGGACCGCAATTGGTTAGCGCCTGAGCTAGGCTATTTGTATAAGGCGATCTGATTGGCTGACGCCTCCGTTGGCACTTGAAAAGTTGAGAAATTTTCAACTTCTGCCGCGAGCAACACCAGTGACGCGACGTCAACGGCCCCACAATTCAGTTCAGCAATGCATGACATCACCCATTCAAAGTAAATGAGAAGCATTAATGCTGACACCCTGTGTGAATGTACCGTTAATGAGAGACGAGCGTGACACATGGCTCGAAAAGCAGCGGAGCTTTTATTATGTCACAGTTGACCGCTTCCGCTCTTTCCGGTCATGCTTATGTGGGGTAAAGCAGCTGATTTATCATACTAGATACATTTGAGTGTGTTGAAAGTTCTGTTATTATGATATATTGCTACTCTGTGAGTTCGTCGCCTGTCTAATAAAACTATTAAAGGGGTCCTATTATGCTCTTTTACAAAGTCTTGATTTTGTTTTGGGGGTGTACTAGAACAGGCTCTCATACTAGGTTGTTCGAAAAACACATTCTTTTTCACATATTTTACATTATTACAACACCTCTCTCCCCAGTCTGGCATGAACGGCTCGAATAGTTCCTGTATCAAATGAAGGCTGAAATCTGAAATACGAAATGTGCTGTGATTGGTTAGCTGGGCCAGTGTGTGTTGTGATTGGCAGCACTCGGCGCCTGGTCGGGAAATGTCATGCCCCTTACCATAGCTGCCTGCGAGCTTCAGTGGAAATATTGCGTCAAAATTAGGGCTGCACGATAAATCGCATGCGATATTTAACGCGCATCTTATCAGTAAAGCCGGTTCTGTAATCAGCGGTAAATCTCCATCACCTGCCTTCAAAGCGTCTTTGGTGTTTCCATGGTTTCTATAAAACAAAACCGGAAATCGAGGGTGTATGACGTCATTGGCAGGTGACGCAATGACACTGTCCGTTACGCTAGTTAAAATTTTTGCTTACACTGTCAGAAATAAAATATACTATAATTGTATTTTAGCCGTTTACTGAGGCAGTAACCTCAAAAGTGCAACTATACCCCTAAAAGAGAGCATATTAGTACCATACAAGTATGCATGCTTTTAAGGGTAGATAAGTTACAAAGGTGCACCTTTGAGGGTACCTCATGAAAAATAAACATGGTGTTACATAAGTACTAAAATGTATTATTATTACCATGGTAAATTTTGGTTACTGCAGTTTGACTACAAATACTGTGGTTACTGAAATAAAACCATGGTTAACTTTTGTAAAAGGCTGCCAGGCTGTTATACCCCTCAAGGTGAAACTTTAGCATATTTTTTTCTGACAGTTTTATTAACAGCAATTACAGAACATAACACAATCCATTTGAACTTTTAACAACCAGTTTAAATAAATTTACTTGCACAAACTAGCCAATTTAAAATAAATATTACATGTACACAAAAGTTTGGGGTCAGTAAGATTTTGTAATATTTTTTTGCTCATGCTCACCAAGGCTGCACTTATATGAAAAAAAAAAACCCGTAAAAGCAGCTATATTGAGAAATATAACAATTAAAATAACTATTTTATATTTTAATATATTTTAAAATGTAATTTAAAATGTATCTGTGATCAAAGCTGGATTTTCAGCATCATTACTCCAGTCTTCAGTGTCACATGAGCCTTCAGAAATCATTCTAATATTTACTGCTCAAGAAACATTTATTATTATTGCTGCTTCATATTTCTGTGGAAACCGTGATGCATTTTTCATATATATAGTAATTCATTTTATTTTATATATAGTAACAATGTAATGTAATGTAATAATGTGGCAATGGTTTCTAAAGATCTACTTACGCTTCTGAAGCTTTTGGGAAACGCAGCCCTATTAAAACAAGCACTGTGAGCCATGCGTCAGCAGCGAACGCTGTCTGTGATTGATTGGTTCTGTCTTTCAGCATTTGCGTGTGTTCCGATGGGCAGGAGAAATGGTTCTATCCAACACAATTATTCGTTAATATAGTCTATTTTTCCACTTAGAACCTTATTTTATGCACCGATTTTTTTTGATAAGTACATAAATGGTTAAAAAATGCACTTTAGAATCGATATTTTTATGTGAGGATCGATCCTTTCGATACAACATCAGTATCATCGAAAGTATCGATACTGGAGGATCGATCCGCCCATCCCTACCCATAATGCACTGCAGCACGCATAGGGGAAGAGCTTTCGCGGGAGAGCCAGCGAGGCCATCCAGCTAGTTTGTTTCGCCAACTTTTGCAGTATTTTGATGTTTTAATTCAGAAGTGATCAACCGTGCATCTTGCAGGGGTTGTTGATCGACTGTCTTTTGAGAGGGATTGTTGAAAGAATACGCCAGGCGTTCAAAGGTAAGTACGTAAACTGTTGAAAAGATTGGCCCGCGTGTTGTTTATCATCTCTGCAGAGATTCGCTGAAAAGCATGCATGCCCTGCAGCGTGTTTCGCCTTTATACGCTTGCTCTGGCTTCAACATTCATGTTTTAAAGCCTCATGTTGGAGTATTTTATTTTTTTCATTTCTATCGAATAGCGAGCTAACGACAATAGAACGGCGCATATGTTATCAATATAAAACAGAATTAATGCAACGTTGAGGTTTTGGAGTATTGTATGGTATGTATGATCAGCCTGTGACAATATTAGCCAAAGATGCATGTTTATAGTCCTGTGACTGCATGCCATGTGCAGCAGTTGCTGAAGTACAGAAGCGTTTGCTGCAGCAGACAGTAGGATAAAGTCCATTGTGGAGGCTGATATGGTTTGAAATGGTAGTGTAGTTTTGAAGTATTTTAAAAACAACTCTAAATTATCGGAATTATATGAGATAAAATATCGGAGCAATGGGGATATTTTAATCACTAATATTGTGGAAGATATATAAGGATTTTTAAATTAGATCTTAACTTTTTGCTGCCGCAAATACGATTTATAGTTAATTGCAACATTTTGATGTGTTCTTTAATTTTTGTTAATTAAAAACGACTGAATAATTATATAACCGTTTAAAAAATGTATTTTTTTTCATGAAAAATATATTGTTAATTGTAATATTTTACGTGAATATAAAAAAAGCAATATCTCATATCTGTGAATGCTATTAATTAATCTAAAATGACTTTTGTTGAAAAACAAGGGCATACGAAGCAAAACATTACATAGTTTAATTTTCTACCCTGTGCTTCAAGGAAATCATTAGTTTTCATGTTTGAACTTGCAGAATTTCTCAAAAATGTATAACATTAATCCAAAAGTTTGCAATGCATTGCACTTGCACTTAAGCAAGGTTGGCTGTATAATATTGTGAAAATACAGTACAGGCCTGATAGAGAGCCTCAGGCCATTCTTATTGTTGAACTCTGCCCTATGGATAAATGTCCTCATTTCTCACTTTCAGGAGTGAAGTCTACAGAGGCAGTTTCACCGCTGGACTCAACGTCTGCCGCAGGTGTCCCAATGGCCAGTGAAGATTCCACAGAACAACTTCCAGGAGATGCAGCTGGTTCAGAAGCGAAGCCAGATGCAGTGGAGTCATGCCTGCTGGACGCCACTGATGCTGGTGTAAATGAACCAAACCTTCAAAACAGCCTGATGGAAAGCCATCAGATGGAGCAGGAGGAAGTAGAGAAGCTTCAAGGGGAGATGGAGGAAGATCTGGATTTAAGACAACAACCGGGTATGGACCATGAAAGCGGACCAGAAAAGGCCGATCTAACTGACCAGAACGAAGAAGAAAATTGTGCACAGGGACAATCTAAGCAGAAGAATGCTGAAGAAGTAGAGAAGAATGAAGAGAGCAAGATCGCAGAGGATGCAGCACAGTGTTCAGAAGAGCTTGTGATCGCTAAAGTCGAGGACTTCACCTATGAAATGGCAATAGATGTGGACCAGACTGAGGATCGCGATGGGAGGATGGAGGTAGATGGATCAGATGATGCAGGTTGGTGTGACCTTTTTGCCTGTTACTAGATGTGTCCTGTTGAGATGACCTGCAAACACATTTTGGTAGTTATTGATATTGATTGATGATTCTGTGTTTTGATAAATGTTCATTTCTGAACATTATTTCACAGCCATTGAAAAGCATTCAATGAAATTCAAAATGTAATTGAATCCCTAAATATGTTTTTAAAATGTTTTAATAATATATTGTAAATCAAATGCATGTTTTTAGATACTGCATAATGTTGCTGTATCGTTAATATTATTTATTTTTTATTGCCATTTAACTAAATAGAATTGAGGAACAGACTTGACTGTTTATTCTACATAATTTTTACATTTAACAGGAAAATCTTTTCCTAAATGCATAAAAAGGGAGAAAACGGAACCATCTGTTGTGGTGAGCACAGTCATTATTTTATGTTTACCATCGAAGTTCATTAAGTTTGCTTGTTAATCCATGTAGGAAGTGAACTCCTAAAACTAAAATCCTCTCCATCTAAATCCAGCAAACACAGTCAATGTTAAAAACTGAGTTGAAACCTCAAGTGGCCCAGCTCTCTGGTGCCCTACCAGTGAAGGTGAAGGATGAGCCAATGGATGAGGAGTATGAGAAAGTGTCGGAGCAACTTGGCCCAGTGGGCAACATTAAAGATGAGCCCAACACAGCAGCTGTAAGTTTCACCAGTGATTTCTGCCTTTTATTTGTTATTATTATTATTTTTTTTAAATAAAGGTTAAGATACCGGTATGATTTTTTTTTTTTGACAAAAGACTCTTATGCTCTCCAGGTCTGCATTTATTTGATAAAAAATACAGTAAAAACAGTAATATTGTGAAATATTGAATTTTAAAGGGGTCCTGTTATGCTCTGTTACAAAGTCTTGATTTTGTTTTGGGGGTGTACTAGAACAGGCTCTCATACTAGGTTGTTCAAAAAACACAGTTGAAAAAGTGAAAAAGCATAATAGGACCCCTTTAAACTTTTCTATTTTAATACATTTTAAAATGTAATTATTTCTGTGATGCAAAGCTGAATTTTCAGCAGCTATTACTCCAGTTGTCAGTGTCTCATGTTCCTTTAAAAAAAATAATTCTAATATGTTCACGTGACTTTTTATTATATATATAGGATGTAAAAATCTGTAAATATTTTAAAGGGTAAAATTTTAATAATTGTAATATCTACGATGTCTTCATGGTATGTAGTCTATAAACACATTTATTTACAAAACTGCTTATAACAAAAATATCTGTAATTTGGCCTATATTTTATTACTCCCTTAATATATTTAATAGGCCCAACATGTCTACATTAATATAATAAAATTCTATATGAATATCCTACATTTCTGCCACAATACCTCTGTTAGTGTTACAACAGTAAATCTATTGTAAATGTTGGTGATTTAAAAGTATTCTAACTGGATTGTTATCACAATATTTCTCCAGTTTTTCCACGTCAGTGTTGTTGAGAATGTTAGCGCTGTTTCATTTGGCTTTAAACTACTTCAAAATCACAGTGACATCTGTAGTTTGTATCGGAGACCTCCGCTCCAAACTCAAGACGCTTCTCATGGAATCTCACAGCACTGTTTAGTGGTTGTGTGATCGAGACATTTTGTTATACGAGTAGTGCAGTTCCGCTTTTGGAGCATTTATGAATTCTCGTGCGGTAAAGAAATGGCAGTTATCAAACTCGCGTTTTACTGATAGATACATCTGGCCTAAAATTTAGTGCTGTCACCTTGTGTTGACATTGTGAAACTGCATGATTTGTAAATTATGCTTGGCGGCCCACATATAATAAATTTCAATAGACAAGCTGCGGGCCGGACTTTGGACACCCCTGTGTTATGCCTTTACCATCACTTTTGGTATTTGGAATGCAATCTTGCTAAATAAAAAATTTTTTTTTTTTCTTCCACTACTGAACTGGAAAATTAACCCAAAATTCCCTTATTTGAATGGCAAAATGGTATGTAAAATGCAAAATAATCAATTAGATGAGTTAAATAATTGCAACAAGCCAAACCATGTGACAGGCAATGAAAACATGAGCTAAATTTACATTGCTTCGGGTTAAATAAGCAGTACTGTTAAGTAAGGTATAAAGTGTTTCATGGAATTTTGTATTTAAAAATTTTTTTTTTTTTCATGTTTTCAGGAGTTTAGCCAGACACCTGAAGCGATCAAGATCAGTGCAGTTTTCTCTGTAGGAGGAAATGCCACATCCATCGGTACGAGCCCTGAAAATATATTATAATGTT